CTAGACAGCTCACCCCAGCGGGGGATCTCAGTGGCCTCAGGGAACTGGTGACGCCAAGCGTCCGTCAGGCGGCCAAAGCAGCGCTGGGTGGAGTGCGCACCCCCGCACTGCTCACCCGCGCGGTCGCCGGTGCGGAGGACGTAGGTGCACGGACCAGTACCCCCACCCCTCTGGCGTGCAGCGTACCACTCACGGAGCTGCTGAGGGGAGGGGATGTCACGAGTGCGCTGCTGCTGCTGCTGCTGCTGCTGCTGCTGGCGCTGACCACCACCGGAGCCGACCCTCTGCGCAGCGCCACCCCGACCAGCTCCACCTCCTCCGCCGCCTCCTCCTCCACCGCCGCCACCTCCGCTCCCACCGCCACCGCCGCCGCCGCCTCCGCCTCCACTGCCGCCACCGACGCCTCCACCCCCGCCACCACCCCCACCGCCACCCCCACCCCCTCCACCGCCTCCACCTCCGCCTCCACCGCCCCCGCTAGCTCCTCCAGTGCCCCTGCCCCCCTTGCCCTTGCCAGGGCGACGTCTCCTGCTAGGGGTAGACGCCGCACCGACTGACTCAAGCCCAACGAGGTCGGCCGCAGCAGCAGAGGCAACAGAGGGCAAAAGGGGGGAGGGGGAACACCCCTCAAAGATGGGGGTGCGAGGGTCACCACGAGAGGCTCCTACAGCGACTATGCTCTTCTCTGCTGCTAGGAGGGACTTCTCGAGGAGGTCAACGGTGAGAGTGGTGGGGCAAACTGAGAGGAAGTGGTCCCTGACTACGCGAAGGGAGTCAGGGAGCCGGGTGACTATGTAGTAGAGGGTGATGTACATGGGGGGGGGGTTCTTGGCGCAGAACTCAGCAGGAAGCGCAGCGCGGTAGCGAGTGTCACTAGTGCGGAGGTGCGTAATGAGGTCAGCGACTGTGGGAAAGGCAGCAAGGTCAGGGAAGAGGTACGGTAGCATGAGGCGGCTCAGTGCAGCAGTGGCAGGGGAGGAGTAGCGCGCAACTACAGCGTCGTACAAGGTCTGAGCACTCTTGTACTGGCTAAAGTGCGCACGCTCAGAGGTAGGCAGGTGGCGACGCACAGCAAGACGTGCAGCAGCATCGCGCGTGGCCCACTGTGAGCGAACAGTGGCGTCAGCATCAGCAGCGGGGGCAGGAGAGGCACCAGAAGTGAGGTCAAAGAGGGAGAGGCCGTCTGCCCTGTCGCACTGTAAGAAAAGCTGCAGGTCATCTATCCAGACATCAAAGTCAATGGCCCGACCCTCAGCGTCAAAAGCGAGGACACTAGGGGTAGCCATGACAGTAGTAGACAAGCAGCGCAAACAGTAGGGTGAGGGCAGTGCTGTGAAAGGGGCGCTGCTCTTACCGGACAGGGCGGCTCGGGTGGCTCGGCTGCAGGGCGGCTCGGCGGCTCGGCTGCTGGGCGGCTCGGCGGCTCGGCGGCTCGGGTGCTGGGCGGCTCGGTGGCTCGGCTGCTGGGCGGCTCGGCTGCTGGGCGGTTCGGCGGCTCGGCGGCTCGGCTGCTCGGCGGCTCGGCGGCTCGGCGGCTCGGCTGTTCGGCTGCGACTGCTGCTGCAGAGACGGCGGCGGCTGCTGCCTCAGGGACGGCAGCGGCCGGCCGCTAGGGGTCGCGTCAGGTGCAGGAGAGGGCCGCGTCAGGGGCGGCGTAGGGGCCGCGTCAGGGGCGGCGAAGGGGCCGCGTCAGGGGCCGCGTCAGGGGCCGCGGCAGGGGCCGCGGCAGGGGCCGCGTCAGGGGCCGCGTCAGGGGCCGCGGCAGGGGCCGCGGCAGGGGCCGCGTCAGGGGCCGCGTCAGGGGCCGCGTCAGGGGCCGCGTCAGGGGGCCGCGTCAGGGGCGGCGTAGGGGGCCGCGTCAGGGGCCGCGTCAGGGGCCATCGTCAGGGGCCGCGGCAGGGGCCGCGTCAGGGGCGGCGTCAGGGGGGGGCGTAGGGGCCGCGGTAGTGGCGGCGGAGGGGCCGCGTCAGGGGCCGCGTCAGGGGCCGCCTCAGGGGCAGCGTAGGGGCCCGCGTAGGGGCCGCGTCAGGGGCCGCGGCAGGGGCCGCGTCAGGGGCTGCGTAGGGGCCGCGTCAGGGGCCGCGTTGGGGCCGCGTCAGGGGCCGCGTTGGGGGCCGCGTCAGGGGCCGCGTAGGGGCCACGTCAGGGGCCGCGTTGGGGCCGCGTCAGAGGCCGCGTAGGGGCCGCGTCAGGGGCGACGTAGGGGCCGGGTAGGGGCCGCGTAGGGGCCGCGTAGGGGTCGCGTAGGGGCCGCTAGGGGGGGGGGGGGGGGCGCTAAAAAAAAAAAAAAAGGGCAGGGGCGCAATGCGCGTCGGGCAGCTAAAAAAAAATTTCGTTATGGTGGGCCCTTAGGAAGGAACGGTCCCATGTAGGAACCCGCTCTATACCATGTGAATTAAGAAAACAGGAATGAAAATGACTAAGTGAAAGTTGGGTACAAAAAGCAAACCCTAGACAACTGTACCCCATATGTGCTACCCCACTATAGCCTACAGTAGCTATGTCATATAAATCTGACATAGTGGTTGGGATTCTGACATGCAGGAGTGCTCGTCGCTCAACTTTGCGCCAAATTCGCACATGTACATGTGAGAGAAGCGGGCTGCCAATCAGAATTGACAATGAACTATCGTTCCTGGTCCAATAAGAAACTCGTCCGAGGGTCGGAAAAAAAAGCACACATACAGCAATTCCAACATTCCAAAACAAAACAAAAATACTTCATCTTCAAGTTGACCCAACTAGAAGGGGGGGGTCACTATTTTGCCTGCTGGCTTTAAACATACTGTCTGCGTAGTATAGGAGTAGGGAACGTACTTGCAGTTTTGGCAATTATTGGTAGCGCGGACATGTACTGTATTGTCCGCTCCCTCCCCGTACATAACCAAGTCCCTTCCGCGGATCTGGATCGCCGGTGTTTGTGCTGTTGGTGTAGGTACGTGCCAGATTGGAAGTTGACCAATCACAGTGGGTCGCATATAATTGTCGCGATGATGCCCAAAGTCGCAATACATCAGTCGATTGGGACATGCAGGATCGAGAAATTTGAGCGCGACTCGGCAAAAGTGGGATTGGGACACATCGATTGGGACACATTCCACAGCGGAATGTACCCTAAGAATGTACTCTATGTCAGAATGTCATTGTTCTCTAGCCTGCAGTGGGGTACTCTATAGCGAGTACAACCCCTTAGGGTTTCCTATATGTATCCTGCTGCTTTCTAGTGAACCCCCTTCTTCTTCATTCTAAACTTCTCTACCTACTAATCTTTACATGTACATGTGAGGGAACCTGGCTGCCAATCAGAATTGACAATGAACTATCGTTCCTGGTCCAATAAGAAACTCGTCCGAGGGTCGGAAAAAAAAGCACACATACAGCAATTCCAACATTCCAAAACAAAACAAAAATACTTCATCTTCAAGTTGACCCAACTAGAAGGGGGGGGTCACTATTTTGCCTGCTGGCTTTAAACATACTGTCTGCGTAGTATAGGAGTAGGGAACGTACTTGCAGTTTTGGCAATTATTGGTAGTGCGGACATGTACTGTATTGTCCGCTCCCTCCCCGTACATAACCAAGTCCCTTCCGCGGATCTGGATCGCCGGTGTTTGTGCTGTTGGTGTAGGTACGTGCCAGATTGGAAGTTGACCAATCACAGTGGGTCGCATATAATTGTCGCGATGATGCCCAAAGTCGCAATACATCAGTCGATTGGGACATGCAGGATCGAGAAATTTGAGCGCGACTCGGCAAAAGTGGGATTGGGACACATCGATTGGGACACATTCCACAGCGGAATGTACCCTAAGAATGTACTCTAGTGTAGCGATACATTTTCTCTGGATAGGGCGTAGAATTTCAGTCTGTTTAAGTAATTCTAAAATACGTAACTCTACAAACTATTTAGTCCTGTGTTCTCTAGCCTATATCATAAATAAATGCTGACTTGCAATCCAGATTCTCAATCATCACATCATGTAATATTGCTGGAAAACCTCCAGAACTTTCAAGCAAAGATCACATCTGAAAAGCACGAAATCGCATGTCACCGGATGGAAGTGCAGTGCACTCTTTCGAAACTCTCCCTTCGTTTGCGCCTATCTGGTCACTCCGCCCAAGTAACGAAGTGGTGAACAATCAGGCAGACCAGACCTCATCCCAACAGCTTGAAGTTGGTGCGATTCATGTCCGTCGCATCGCATCGCTGCCAACACATCGCGTCGCTGCCAACCCTAAACTTCTGAACCCAACACTGCCAAAAGTTGCCCGTCGCTTTAAAACAGAAATCCTCATCCCATTCCCATTCCGAGGCGAGAACGTGAGTGAAAGCGGAGGTGAGCTCGGCTCGCGTCGCGTCGCGTCCGAAGCCGAAGCGTCGGAAATGTCTATGCTGCTGTCCCATCGCACCGCAGAGCACAGTGATGCCATGGCGAGTTCGGGCCGGTCGGGTGGTACAACCAGCCATTGCGTGCTACTCCGCGGCAGCAGCATCTGCGCGTTACAGGCGAGAGAATCCGCTTCTGCGACCCCGATCGGTACAATCGGAGCCGTTCATCCATTCCTCGCACCGCGGCCAGCGTTTAAACGAAGGCCTATCCTATCGTCGTCGCGGGATAGTGAAGGGAGAGGGTGATCGGAAGCGTCGCCGTGTGTATCGCTGCCCTGATTTCTTCTTGTTCAAGGTTCCGCTCTTGACGCGCGTTACGCAATTTTCGCATTGTACTGCTCGACAAACTGATAGCGGGGTGGAGCATCGAGTGTAAGCGTCCGCTTTGTCTGCGCGTTGGAAACGCTTAGCGGCACATAGCAGCAGTCTGCAGGAGAGAGCAAGAGAGAGCAGCAGGCAACATCAGAGAGCAGCCGCATCCTCGCCCTCCCCCGTGCCTCGCCGCTGTTCCCTTCGCGCCGTTCCGCGCCGTTTACTCCGCACCGATTCTTTCCGCGCCGATTCTTTTCGCGCGCCTCCCGCTCGTCTGCTCCCTCCGACGACGCGCGCGATGGGCGACGAGGGCTGCGACGACGCGAGGGCGTCGCTGCTGTCGCACGAGAGCGAGCCGGAGTGGGCGCAAGTGGCGGGCATGGCGAGCGACCTCGTCGTCACCATCGGCCAGCGCGCCTTCCACGTGCTCCAGTACCCGCTGTACGCGTTACTAGCCGTGATCCGTTTCACGTGCACCAGTACCCGCTTTACGGTCTGCTTTCTCCGTTTCTCAGTACGCGTTTACGCCTTGCTACACGTGCTCATGCGCTCTAGGATATGTAACCACGCTTCATGGTTCAGACGCACTAAACTCTCCCTCCGTCTAGACTTTCCTCTCCTGTCTCCCTCCTTTCTCCCCCCTTCCCGTCCCTCCGCTCACCCTCCCTTCCCGTCCCTCCGCTCACCCTCCCTTCCCCTCCCCCCCTCCCAGCTTCTCCCTGTCAACGGTGATAGCGAGCGCGGCAGCAGCAGCGGACGAGGGCACGGGCCCCACGCAAGCGGACCTCTCGTTCCTCCCTGGTGGCGCGCTCTCCTTCGTCCCCATCGCCTGCTACTGCTACGCCCGCCCCTGCCGCCTCTCGCCCCACTCCATGCTGCTCGTGCGCTCTGCAGGTACTGATGCCCCTCCGAGGCAGGAGGAGGAGAGTGTGGGAGTTTGCGTGTGGGGAGTGCGGGAGTGGGGAGTGCGGGAGATTGGGAGTGTGGGAGTGCGGGATAGGAGGTGATGTTAGCCGGGGGTAGAGGTAATGACCTTGATTTATGTGCGCTACAGCACTGCACCGTGCTGTATCCCATGTGTTGACCATTTCTGCTCTGCACCCATTCTCTCCTCATCCCCAATCTTCTCAACCCCCCTCCCCCCATTCTTATCATTCTCCCTCTTCTTATCCTCCCCCTTTCTCGTCCCCCCATGTTCTCACCTTCCTTCTTTTCTCCCCCCCTCTCCTCCTCCCTCCTCTCCCCCTCCCTCCGCCAGCATCGCTGCTGGAGATGAACGCGTGTAGGTCCATCCACACACTGCCACTGTTTCTGAGGCTCTGTAAACCTCCCTTTCCCCCGCTCTCCCCCCTTCCCCCCTCTCCCCTCTCCCCCCTTCCCCCTATCCCCCCTTCCCCCGCTCCCCCCTTCCCCCTCTTCCCCCTTCCCCGTCTCCCCCCTTCGCCTCCTCCCGCTGGCAGCATCGCTGCTGGAGATGAGCGCGTGTGGGTCCAGCCACGCACTGCCACTGCCTCAGCTGGCAACGCAGCGCCTGCAGCACCTCCTGCTGCACTGCCCGCCCTGCCTGCATGTGCTCTCGTCGTATGTCGGGATTTGGAGAGGGTGGGGCGGGATGGGATGGGATGGGATGGGATGGGATGGGGTGAGATATGGAATGGGGGATGTCCATACTGTGCCTTGGCATGTGATGCGCTGTCCTTTTCACATCTGTATGCTTCAAGTCCTTACTCGTGTGGACTGATGACAACTCCTCACCTCCTCTTGCATGCACGCCCGCACATTCCTTGCTCACCTTTTCACCATTGCCTTCACTCTCCCCCACCCACTGCCTGCCACCCACCGTCTCCCATCTGCCACCACGGTAATCTCCCATCCACCTTCCTTTCCTCTCGCACTCTCTCCTAACCCACCGCTGTGAGCTATTCCGCGTTGACCTTCCGCCCCCGACCCTCTGTGTCTCATTCTCCGATGTCTCTCTCGTCCCCTTTCAAATTACCCCCTCCAACCCCTCCCCCCTCCCTTTCTCCTTTTTTCCCATTTTTCCCCCTTTTCCCCTTTTTCCCCTTCCTCCCCTTCCTCCCCTTCCTCCCCATCCTCTCTCTCCCATCCGTCCGTCCACCCGGCGCGCTATGTGAGTGCAGGCAGAAGCAGGGAATGGACGCACAGCAGCTGAGCAGCACACGGCAGCGCTACTACTGCCACTGAGTGCACGACTGCCGGCAGCAGGGGCAGCAGCGGCAGCAGCAGGAGGAGAAGCAGAGGCGGCAGTGGGGCACGGCCTATGGGGATGTCTCCTTGCTCACTGATATGCTCGACTGGCAAGAAGCTTTCCAGTCCGTGCTTGTTGTGGCAGCTGTGCTTTTGAAACTCCTATGTGCTGCTGACTAGTTGTGTGATCATGCGTCCATTCTATGTTTCGATTGAAAGAGGCCGGGCCAGCAGTCTCCATGCCCCGCCACTCCTTCCCTGAATGCTCTTCCTAACTCCCAAACACGCCTCCATTGCTCTCTGTCGCTTTCTCCCCTCCCTCTCCCACCTTCCCCTCAACACACCACAATCAAGCCCTGCAGCATCTCGCTCGTCTCCTCCCCCGACCCCGCCACCCTGCCTCTCTCCACCCACCTGCTCTTCCACCTGCTCTCACACGCCTGCCTCTGCGCCATGCTACGCTCCTCCCTGCTCTTCCACTTCCAAGCTGCCACACACCGCCCCACTCCGCCCCACTCAGGATGTTGGGGTGGTGCAGCATCTGTTTCCCCTCCCACTCCCCCATGTCCATGTGAGCGCATGCTGCCTCTCTCCCATGCCGTGCCACGCCATGCCTCGCGCCGCTCCTCCCGTCTCTTCCTCTACCAACCTGTTCCACAGCCGTGATATACCAAGCTGGCATCCCACTCCAAGCCGCCGTTTCTCTCCTACGCCATCTTCTCTCTTCTGCTACTTTCTCATCTACACTAGAAGAGTCCACATGGACGCTCATTGTGGACAGGGTAACCATATGATGGAAGGAACGAGTGCATACATACTCATAAACCATATGAATGGTATTGGTATGATCATTTCCCAATACGAGCCATCATTGGGAGACAATCATGGTACGGTACCGTATGTTACACTACACTACAATTAGTATGTGTTCTGCTTTGTGTGGTGAATCATCCGATTAGTCACTTATTTGGTACTTACCCCTCTCTCGCCTCTCCTTGGATCGTCCCCCATCACGTCACCTCTCCCTGGCCCACTGATGCCCTATTAAGCACGGTCTCCCCGCGTGTAGGCCCCACTCTCTGGCTGACTTCTTGATTAGCCATGGAATTTATCAATAGCCAATCAGACATAGGTACAGAAAAGGGACCTATACATAACAACCGCTATGATTTAAATATGCAGCACACGTTCCACATGTTGCTACTACACGTGTTCTGGCATCCGAAGGAGTTAAGTATGGTAAGAGGTGGTTATGCGGCAGCTTCAGACAAGAGTGTTAGACGGAAGTAGCAGAGTCATGGGTGGAGGCGGAAGGAGGAAGACCCCGGGCATGATGTTAGTCTGCAGAGCACAACACATGAAACACGAAGGTTGTCAACACTCTTCCTACAAAGGACAATTCAAATGCACGTTCCAAGAGAAAAATGTATAAAAAGAAATGACAATGACCGTAGGACAGACCTGAAGAGCAGCAGCACGACGGCGGAGCTCACGATCAGCAAGGATGGCGCGACGCAGTGCATCTGCAGGCAAAAAAACAGAACGAGAATCAGTAATTGAATACGTATAAGAATCCCCCTAACCCTGCAAAACATTGAAGCCCCAACCTTAGGTCATCAGGAAGAGAAGAGAGAGGGAGAGAGAGAGAGAGAGAGAGAGAGAGAGAGAGAGAGAGAGAGAGAGAGAGAGAGAGAGAGAGAGAGAGAGAGAGAGAGAGAGAGAATAATGAATAAATTCAAAAAAGAAGCAGAACGTATATATCAGACCTTTTTCATCCATGTGAGAGCTCCGGAGGCGCATCATAAATGAACGAACGCCACGACGTCTGTCGGCGTTGTTAGGGTTGGTTCGCCCAACCACGGAACCTAAGGCGAAAGCATCTACGACGGCGGAATGACGGCGAAATGGAAGCGCGTGTGTGAAACGGTGGAAATCGGCCTACGGTGGGGAATAGAGGCTACGGCGTGAGAAGCGGGAGAGAAATCGAGAAGAAATGTGCTAGGAGGGAGAGAGAAGGAGAAGCATCGAGAATGAGATTGACGAGGGGAAAAATGTGCTTCGAGACCGAGGCGCGTTCGAGAAAGTTCGGGATTCGGTCTTGAGGAGTGTTCACCGAATTCGGTTCGGTTGCGTGTGCGACTAGGGGTGAAACGAGGCGCACGCGGTTACTTGGGAAACAAGTGAAGTTACGAATCGCATTTTGTGTCTTGCTTGACTATAAACCTGTTTGTACTCATTCTGGAAATACAACATTGATACCAATCAGATTCTGAAAATTGCTGAAGTGTGTATTGACAACTTCAAGCAGAGCTGCGCATATTATTGGATTCGGGAGACCGTGGAGAACACGATAGGCGATAGCAAGTAGACTATTGCCGACTAAGGTGCTTACGATCCTGAGAACTGGTATCAGAGCTGGTTTAAGTGGCGTTTAAGCATTCTTAAGTGCAGAGCGAAGCTTTCGAGATGGTCGGCGGACAATCGGAAGCTAGTTCGGGCTCCTCTGTGAGTATTGGAGATCCCCAAGTGAAGGCACTTCTGGAAATGCTAGCGCAAGGAGGGGTGGTGACAAAGCCCACCATGGGGCTCAGTGAAGCCCAACGATTCCACGGCCAACACTACATCACGTGGAGATTGAAGTTCATAAGGAGGGCGAAGGAAGTCGGTTTTTGGGAGTACTACCGACCGGATGGAGAAGGTGACGCAGCCGCGCGTAAGGCGAGATCGGATGAAGAAAAGGCGGAATACAAGAAGAGGAGTAAGCATGCGTTTTTTCAGTTATGTCATTCCGTTGCTGACGGGATTGCAGTGGGTTTGGACGAATTTGCAGAGCGCGAGAACTCTGCACAGGCGGCATGGGCTTACATGGAGTCTACATACCTCGGGCATATGGACGCAAACATCGCCGACACAAGGAAGAAGCTGCTGTTAATGACCATGGAGCCGAACCAGAAGATTATTGACTATGTCAACATGGCGAGGAGCTACAACGACGACTTAACTGCGATGGGCGAGCCGGAAACCGAGCGGGCGATGATCGGGCACATCGTCAACGGTCTACCGGAAGATTGGGCGGGTGAGCGGCCGGCGTTGATCTGCCACCCACCGGAGAATATGACGAAGCTTATTGCCATGCTTCAGGCGTTGGAGCGAGCAAGAGAGCATCAGAAGCGACGGGAGAAGTTTACAAGGGGCTTTGTGGAGGAGAAGCCTGCGTTGGTGAATGCGGCAGCTGCTGGAAGGAGCTCGGGAGCGTGCTACCAGTGTAGACAACTCGGGCATCGTGCGTTTGAGTGTGTGGAGAACCCGAGGAGTAGAAACTACTAAGGGAACGGTGCGGGATGGAGTGGTGGACAGCAACACGGAAGGTTCAATGGTGCGTGCCATCACTGCAAGAAAATTGGGCATCGTGCGATTGATTGCTACTTGAATCCCAACGGCCGTAACTACAAAGGACCGTTGAAGCAGGAGCAGCAGCAGAACGTGGAGGCCAAGGCTAACGTGGCGGAAGCGGAGAAGGAAGAAGTGGATCCGATTTTGGGGGGAGCACATCTTGCGAACGTGGTGCGTTTACCAATGGAGGTTCGGCAGACGGACGGACGTGAGAAGACGACATGGTTCATGGACAGCGGATGCACGCGTCACATGACATTCAGGTTAGATTGGATGGAGAATGTGAGGGAGTCGAGTGAGGATTATATACTGCAAGGTAACAGTGGAAAGTTACCAGTGACAGGAGAGGGTGACGTGGTGCTGCGGAGTCCGTATGGAGTAGTGAAACTGGAGAGTGTGTTGCTGGTTGCGGATTTGAAGGTGAACTTGGTCAGTCAGTCACAGCTTGATGACTTGGGGTGCAAGATATTCTATGACAGTGGTGATGTGACTGTGTTTGGTCCTGAGTGGGAGAAGTATGCTGATGGTTACTTCAGTGACGGGTTCTATGAGATGAACTTGGTCGCGACGAATGATATGGATGAGATTTATGAGGATCCTGAGTATGGTGAGATGGGAGAACTGGAGGAGTTATTGACTAAGGTTGATGAGAGTGAGGACTCGGATGATATGGCTGCGAGTGTGGAGGCAGCAGTGAAGCAGGAAGAGGAGATAGTGATCACGGAGGCAGCAGCAGTAAACGGTGGAGATGGAGACGATGTCAACACTTTTGCAGCAGCGATCGTGGTTGAAGATGAAGCAGTAAATGCGAAGTATGTGGGAGTTGAAGCTGTGAAAGGGGACATCATGGTGAAAGGATCGAAGGCGAATGCAACTGCAAAGGGGCAAGTGCTTAAGGAGGATGAACGCGTTGAAGGGTACGAGACCCGAGAGGTGTTGGGTGTAAAGATGCCGAGGAGAAGCGAGAGGCATAAGAAAATCTCTCAAGGTTTGGATGCCAAGGCGCTCAACTACAAGACACATAAGCAGAGGTTCAAGGTGCAGGAGCTGCAGGGGAGCGTGAAGCCGACTTAGACCCTGTGAAGGCTACAAGGAGCAGGGGAGCAGTGCGAGTGGTGTTCGTGGTTGACGAACCACAGGGGAGATTGTTAGGGTTGGTTCGCCCAACCACGGAACCTAAGGCGAAAGCATCTACGACGGCGGAATGACGGCGAAATGGAAGCGCGTGTGTGAAACGGTGGAAATCGGCCTACGGTGGGGAATAGAGGCTACGGCGTGAGAAGCGGGAGAGAAATCGAGAAGAAATGTGCTAGAAGGAGGGAGAGAGAAGGAGAAGCATCGAGAATGAGATTGACGAGGGGAAAAATGTGCTTCGAGACCAAGGCGCGTTCGAGAAAGTTCGGGATTCGGTCTTGAGGAGTGTTCACCGAATTCGGTTCGGTTGCGTGTGCGACTAAGGGTGAAACGAGGCGCACGCGATTACTTGGGAAACAAGTGAAGTTACGAATCGCATTTTGTGTCTTGCTTGACTATAAACCTGTTTGTACTCATTCTGGAAATACATTGATACCAATCAGATTCTGAAAATTGCTGAAGTGTGTATTGACAACTTCAAGCAGAGCTGCGCATATTATTGGATTCGGGAGATCGTGGAGAACACGATAGGCGATAGCAAGTAGACTATTGCCGACTAAGGTGCTTACGATCCTGAGAGGCGTCCTCCACGATTTCCTCCACAATGTCTTCCACTTGCAACGCCCTCTCCACCACCCGTTCCATCATCCTCTTCAGCGCCGCTGCTGTCGCCGCATCCGTGCTGTGCACGCCTTCACAAATGCTTCTGATAATGGCTTCCTCGATGGAGCCCTGCAGCTCGTTGTCGCCGTGCACAGCGTGGCAAGTTCCCAGGGCGTCGATGTAAATAGGAAGGCACATGTGCACGGAGCCTTCTTTGTTGCCGTAAATCACCCGGCAGGATACCCGCATGACATCCATTGGCTCGGTTGGTGCCGCAAAAAGTATGAAAACGTGAAATTGGGAGTCTGAAATGGTGGCAAATGGTGGCAAATGACTAGCTGAGAACCTCTGCGGCTCTTTTATATCCTGGTGAAGGGGAATGGAATACTCCTGACCTTGGTTTGCGGGACCACTCCCAGGTTCCGCAAGAGTAAATGCCGCGGATGGTACATGCACTCCCATCCCGACTCCTTTTCCAACCCCAGCGCTCTTCGCGACATGCGGTTTCCCCGCCGAGGACCCGTTTTTGCGAAAACTTAACTGTGAAGGAAAGCTTTTGCGACCTTCGTGACTTCTACAGGTTCATTGTGGTTGGCAGGAGAAACTGATGGTAACTAAATGGCCTGTGGCACGCGAAAGTCGTAAGGGACTAATGCGCCACAGACTACCACGAGAAGAAGTAGAATCACCGGAAGGAATCACATCTCGTCAAGGCGCTGTCGTCGTACCAGCGTGTGACACGTGGTATAGAACCTCTTGTCTCTTCACAGAAACTTCATCTGCACTCAATTGGTTTGGAAGCAAAAATAATCCGGTGTCTTCGATACTGAGTCTGTTCAATATGAACAAGCGATGCTTTAACAACGACTAAACTACAATCAGTTTTTCAAGTAATTTCTGTACGGTTACCTGAACTATGAATCGTAAACCCGAAGCCCTAAACACTTCGTACCTCAAATACCTCGAGTCGCAAGTTGCCACCAGCAAAAGTGTAGGAACCTCACAGATCCTCCTCGTGGGTATGCGGTTCAGAAAATCTCGCGTTATAGATCTGCAGCTGGCAGATTAGGACGGTAGTTAAACTTCTGACGCACTCTTTGGAAATCCAAGTGAGCGGTTAGCGGGATTCGTGCCAGGTGGTCGCTATCCACATGAGCGCGCTATAACGTTTCGCCTCGCCGAGGGCGCGCGGTCCCAGTAGTTGGGGAACATGGCGTGGCGCGGGGGGCGAGGGGGACGCGGAGGCCGCGGAGGGTTCGGAGGGAGAGGCGGCGGGGCTGGTGCAGTGGCACGGGACGATGAGGGGTCGATCGTGTTTGCGGGTCGCGACGAAGGGCCCCCGCCATTGTTTCCGGTGCGCACGGGTTGATTTCCCGTCCACGTGCGCTCGTCGTTTGCTACTGCGACGGCCTCGCAGCGCGTGGTCGTCCTGACGAACTTTCTCTCTGCCGTCGCGCTGCGTCCCGCGACGTTAACCCTTATCTCTCCACGCCCGATCCCCTCTTTTCTCCCCCTGATGCTGCTCTCCTCTTTCCTCTGCCCGCCAGCCTGTGGAAATGCTGCCCGAGCTGCCCGAAATCGCTCCCAAGGACGAGGCGATGCTGCAGCGGCGGCGGCGCATGGCGTCATTCTGGCGCTACTCCGCCTACTACGTCGACCGCCCTCCGCCCGACAGTAAGGGGCACTCGGGAGGTGGGGGTTAGGTGGCAGAAGAGAGAGGGGGAAGAGTGTGGGGAGGGGAAAGGAAGGCGGAAGGGGAGAAGGAGGGGTGGGACGGGTGGGACGGCAGCGCGGGGGCAAGGAAGCGGGATAGGATGTGGTAGGTGGGTGAGCAGGAGAGAGGAAGAGCATGTGCAAATGCAGCACAAGTCAGGGCCCCCTTCACATGGTTGTCCGCCATCCCTCAGCTCCCCATTCCGCCCTTTCACCTATACCACCTGTCTACCCAACCCCTTCTTTTCCCAACTATTCTCCTCTCCCCGTCTACCCCTTCTTCCTCTCCTCCCTTCCCGGTCGCCCCTCTCGTCCTCAACTTCCTGCCAAGTGCGGTGCAGAGGGAGTGGCAGCGGACATAGCAGCGTACACGAAGCGCCACAGCGGCTCTTCCGGCGCCACCGCCTCTTCGTCCTCTGCGCCCCGTGCTTCTCTCACCGACGTCATGGACCTCTCCATCGCTCACTACCCCGCTGAACTCCTCTCTGCTGGTGCGCTCTGGCGTGATGGCATGGGATGGCATGGGTGTGACGTGATGCTATGTGGTGTGGTTGATGGGGCGATGCTCCTTCCCATGCCATGGCAAGGGTAAGCTAGTGTTGGGTGGGTGTGCCATCACACCATGCATTTGCTGCAACCACAGCCAAGCAAATGCCATCCCCACTGTGACCAATCCTGCTCCAGTTTGCATGCTTACATTCTTTCTCTCTCGGGACCTACTGTGCTGATGCTATCACCAACATCTGTGGCTTTGCTGTGTGGGGGTACATGCAGGAGGCAAGAAGAAAGTTAGGAAGAAGAGCAGCAACGCATGGGTGGTCGGCAAGGGGTCAGCTGCCAATGGTCAGTCGCCTCCTTGTGTTCTCTCTCTCCTTGTTTCTTCCTCCCTTTTTCTCCCTCGCTCCCCTCCTCTTCTCGTCTTTTGCGTATTACACCCACACCAGCTTCATTCCTTCTTACACTGTGCCTAACCTTGCCGCAATTGTCCTCTCTCACCTTTGTTTCGCTGCTGTGTGTCCCTGTGCCTTTCCCGTCTCCCCTTCCTGCATGTGTGCAGACCTAAACCGTCTGGACCAGCTTGCAACACTGGAGCAGAAGCTAGACAAGAACGCAGCGGTGAGACCCTTTTTTTCCCGGCCGTCATGGCCTATGCAGTCGTGTAAAGACGAGGGAATTGCAGTGGTGCAGTGCAGTGATGCATGCTGCATGCTGTGCAGTGTGTGGCTGTACATGACAGCGTGCTAACAGCGTGCTATTACGTGTGGGATGGCAGGACCGGGAAGGCAAGGACGAAGAGAAGAAGGAGGGGGAGGACGATGAGGAGGTGGAGGAGGAAGAAGAGGAAGAGGAGATAGGGGAGGATGACTACGCTCAAGTATGGCAGCTCTCCACACCCCACATTTATGCCGCTCGCTCACTTGCCTGCTTGCTCTGTGCCCCCCCGCCCCCCCCCCCCCCCAGTTTACGTTTCCCTAGCTTTCTGGCACTGCCTCACCGACCTTACCGTTCTTCCCTCCACGCCGTTGTTCTCTTTCCTAATGTGCTTTCAGAACTTTGGGTTTGATGATGACGATGAGTACCTGGATGAAGACGATGGTGCTGATGGTACGTGCTTGCTGCCTTTAGCACTGCCACTCCATGTCCCTGCACCACTGCCATGTGCATGCTGCTCCTTCACAGCCTATCCCATCGTTGTTTTTCTCACCAGTCACTCTCATTCCCAACCCCCTGGATTCTTACTTGTGCATCCTCTTCCCCCTTTCCCTTTCCCCTCGCCCCTGCACCCCCTGTGTCCACCTATTGGTCTTTCCAGAGGGCCCTGTGTTCTAAGCGTTGGCAGGGAAGCACCAATGCAGAGGCTGGGACGCTCCTGGGTCAGGAGCAGGTGTAGGTGCTGACTTTACCACAATTATTACACTTGAGCTTTGGAAGGATCTGAATCAACACATGCAGGCCGCTGACAAATGGGGCCCTGTGATAGGACTAGCAGTGAATAAGCTGGTAGCTTAGGGGATGAGTAACTAGCTCTGTGTGAAATGAAACAACTGGACAATCCTGCATCAAGTTATACAGCATTGATCAGGTTCCTTATGGTCTTGTAAAGAAAGGAGACGCCTCAGTCAGATGTAAGCTTCAAGGGATGCAAGAATCCTTGATTCTCTACCTAGTACAAGCCATGTTCAAATCAGGTCAAGCAAACATTGCATCTATGGCTGCTCTGAGCAAACCTGCAACGCTCATGAAGGGGCGGACTTACAAATTGAAAGTCCATGGAGCGATTAGGGTGGTTAGGGGCGGAAGGAGAGAGCGGGAGGGAGAAGAGACATAAGGACTGGCAGGTGAAGGGGCTCGAGAGGAGGGCTAACTGCGTGCCCCAGATGGGCGCATGTTGGATTTGGGAGAAGCGTGAGTGGCGGCGAGCACCATGGCCATACGTCTGGCAAGGAGCCCGCCTGCCAAACCTGCGCTTGAGCGCCAGTTAGTCGCGGATCGCGATTCGAGTCGCGAGAATCAGTGGAAGGTGAGAGCCGGTGCGTCCTATGCGACACATGGGAAGGATCGTGGCAGATATGCGACGAGGAGAGCGGTAGGCGGAGCCGCGCGGGGAGATGCGCGATAGACGTGGAAAGGAGGAAGACAGATGGGCGCAGAGTCAATGTCTGGCTTTCTTAGGCGCAGGGGCGTCCTCATCATCATCGTCATCGTCCTCGTCATCGTCACCGTCGTCGTCACCGTCACCGTCGTCGTCGTCGTCGTCGTCGTCGTCGTCGTCGTCGTCACCAGCATCAACTTCGTCATCGTCATCCCCCTCGTCGCCGTCGTCGTCCCCTTCATCCCCTTGCTCCTCGTCGCCATCCTCCCCGTCCCCATCGCCATCGCCGTTCTCTTCGTCCCCTTCCTCCTCCACATCCTCATCGCCGTCCTCTTCGTCCCCTTCCCCTTCATGCCCGTCTCCTTCCTCCTCCCCGCCCTCCTCCCCGCCATCCCCGTCCGCATCATCCTCACCGCCATCATCCCCCTTGTTGTCATCACCGTCGTCGTCCTCTGCCTCCTCGTCGTCGCCATCGCCGTCGCCATCGTCGTCGTCGTCGCCATCGTCGCCATCGTCGTCATCGTCGTCGTCGTCATCGTCGCCTTCTTCGTCCTCGTCGCCAGCGCGAGGACAAGGCGCGTCGGAGGCCTTGCCGTTGGCGGCGGTGGGAATGCGCGGAGCCAGCGGGTCGAGACCAGGGAGGTTCAGTTCTGATAGCTTCTCCCCACCCTTGTCTTGATGGTTGCTCTGCAGCGACAAGGGCGAAGCGCGCAGGAGAAGGGATCAGATATGGTACTGGCGATACGCGGCACCTCGGAAAGGCATTCAAGACGATACACGGGATGGAATTTGCGCTGACAGATGCGACCGGCGACAATATGATCAGATTGCGGGACCAGGCTCACCGATTTCGTCGACGCTTCCGCAAGAAACTCGGCGAGGGCCTCGTCTGGGAGGCCACACGGCACGTCAGAAGGAAAAAGCTGACCAGGGAGGAAAGCGAACTTGGACCATGGCTGCCTAAACCTCCCCCCCTGCAGCTCCGCTGCTGCGATTGGTCCTCTGCACATATTCACAGGCGTGCGCACCGCGGCACAGATGGCTGAGAACTGAGAAAAAACGGACGAAGCGCGTGACTACACGTCTGAAGGTGGTAGCTTGAAGGGTGCAAGAGTTGATTAGGGACTTCCTGCTGCTGGGCCTAGGGCAGAGGTAGGGGGAGCAGGGGGGGGACGGGAGGGAGTGCGGGGAGAGAAGAGCGGGAGAGGTTTGGGTAGAGGGGGACTGGCGCTCGAGGAAATAAAGGGGAGTGTCTCTTGCTAGTTACATAAACGTACCGTAGTCTGTCTATGTTGAAACATGTGTACAAGCTGGTATGACAAGGGAAATGACATCACACATTAACACCTCCTACAGCCACGCTGCTTGTTAATCCCCGGACGTGAGATTTCCCACTGTCACCGGTCCTAGTTTTGAGGCGCCTCAAAAATAGTGTCCTGGTGCAGCCTCGTGCTTCCAAAAGTCTCTAAGCGTGTTAGCATCACTCCAACGGCCTCACAGATGCAATGGCATTCTGTATTGTGCGAGCCAGTGTATGCAACTGGAATGGCTTTGTATCGTAGCCATCCATGCCAGCGGTTAAGCATTTCTCCTTGTAGCCTTGCATTGCGTGTGCTGTCAGCCCAACGATTGTGATGTGACAAGTGCTCTGCTGCTGCTGATGCTCTGATGCTTGTCCGATTGGACTAGGTACGGCACCGGGCAAACTTGAGGCCTGCAGCTCCCACTGTCGAATCGTGCGAGTGGCTTCGATACCATCCATGATAGGCATCTGAAAACGATCGCCACACACATGGGTGACACGTGCAGCATTGCAATGGGGGATGGGGAGGTGGGGGACAAATCAGGGTGGAGGAAATGAAGATCTAATGGCATCAGCACGCAGGGGGTAGATCACACGGTGACTTGTGCGGGACGAATCAAGGGTGGACGAGAGAGGCAGGCAGAGAGACGGATGACTAGAGCGAGAAAGAGGAGAAAGAGACAGGTGAGCGAGGGGCGGAGACATGCAGTAGAGGGACGGACGGGAGAGAGCAAGGGGAAGAGAGAAGGGGGGGGTGAGCAAGGGGGGAGTGAGAGCAAGAGGGGAGTGAGTGAGAGCAAGGGGGGAGTGAGAGCAAGGGGGGAGTGAGAGCAAGGGGGGAGTGAGAGCAAGGGGGGAGTGAGAGCAAGGGGGGAGTGAGAGCAAGGGGGGAGTGAGAGCAAGGGGGGAGTGAGAGCAAGGGGGGAGTGAGAGCAAGGGGGGAGTGAGAGCAAGGGGGGAGTGAGAGCAAGGGGGGAGTGAGAGCAAGGGGGGAGTGAGAGCAAGGGGGGAATGAGAGCAAGGGTGGAGTGAGAGCAAGAGGGGAGTGAGAGCAAGGGGGGAGTGAGAGCACATGTAACAGCCCCACCTGAATATCCATGAGAACCACATCGAATGCATCATGGGCGGCAGTCACGGCATCCACAGCAGCCTTGCCATCGCCCACCACCGTGACCACAGCGCCTGCCTTGCGCAGCAGGTGCATGGCCACCTTCTGGTTCACCACGTTGTCCTCCGCTAACAGAATGCGCATCCCTGATAGCGTCTCCACCCCGCCAACCCCCGCCGCCGCCTTGCTCGCACCCCCACCTCTGCTTCTCGCCCCTGCCTCGCCTGCTGTGTCCATACCCCTACCCCCTCCTGCCTTTCCCAGCACCGACTGGCCAGCCCCTGCAGTGCTGTCCTCATTGCTTCTGGCACTCCCAGCAGAGGTGGAGGAGAGGCGCGCACATGGAGCAGGGGAAAGAGCAGCAGGAGTTGGAGTGGAAGTGAGGGGAGGAGGAGCTTGAGGCTTGTTATGTCCTGAGTCGTGCATGTGTGATGCAGCTGAGGCTGGTGCTGGGGACAGCACAACCAATGCTGCTGCACCCGATTCTGCTGGGACGGTGTGAAGCAGTGCAGGTGAGCTTGGGAGGATGGAGGCAGTGCCTGGGCGATCAGAGGAAGGCGGTGTCGGGAGTAATGGAATGAGGACTGCATGGGGTGGCGCACACGAGACCAAGGAAGACAAGGTGGTGGCCATTTGGCCAGAGGAAGCAGTGGTGATGGTGGTGGTGGTGGCAGTGTGTGAGGAATGGACACAGGGAGGGGTGGAGACACAAGGTGTGCCTGGTTGACTCGAGGCAGCAGCAGCAGCAGCATTAGTAGGCGGGGGTGGGGAGTAGGGCTGAGGTGTCACGGCTGAGGCGGAAGGAATTTGAGAGTGGGGAGGCGACGAGGAGGCGAGAGGAGGGGAAGGAGAGAAGGCGATCAATAAAGAGGAGCTGGAGGGGGCACAAGAGGTGTCACCGGGTTGTGGGCAAGCAGGAGGGCACGCATTGTGCGGCTGAGTGGGTTGGGCCATGGAGGAGGCGGGTGCAGAGGGGTGCGTGGAGGGCAGGGAGAAGAAGCGTGCAGTGAAGGTGAAGGTTGAGCCTGCTCCGACCTGGCTGGCCAGGTGCAGCGTGCCACCCATGAGCGATACCAGACTGGCAGCACACACACAGGCGTGGGCAGGGGCGAGGGGGCAGACGGGGGTGGGGCGAAAAGGGAGAGGACGGTCAGAGTGTGGCCACTGGGGCATGCAATGCAGTGTGGAGGACTGGACGCAAGGCATGTGCGTGAGAAGTTTCACACGCACACACATGCATGCACACACACATGAGGCGAGGAGCGTGCTCACTTGTGCACGATGCTGAGGCCCAGCCCGGTGCCGCCATAGATGCGCGTGGTGGACGTGTCGGCCTGCACAAACGGCTTGAATATCTCGCCCTGCACCGCCCTCTCTATCCCGATGCCCGTGTCCCGCACCGACACCTGCAGCCACACCTCCTCCCCCACTTCCTCCGCCTCCCCCTCTTCTTCCTCATCCTCCTCTTCCTCCTCCTCCTCCTCCTCTTCCTCCTCGTCTTCTCCTTCCTGGTCGTCCTCTTCTGCCTGCTGTGCAGCATCCCAGGGCTGCCTCCGTGAGTCGCCACAGGCCTCAGGAGAAGGGTTCAGCGCACTGACAGCAGAGTCGGTGTACGCGTGGTGCGTGCAGGGCAGGGACGGCATTGTGAGCAGCGGTGCCGGGCAGTGCAGTGGGGTGGTGGGCCCTTCAAGAGGTGCTGCTGCAGGCACGGCAGCACCAAGGAACGGGGACGGTGGGGCTGACTCTGAACTCCCAGGTGCACCAGGGTGGGCAGCCGAGGGCGGTAGGGTGAACGCCCTGTGTGCCTGGCCTGATGGTATGCCAGTGAGCAACGGTGGTGATGGTGCTGCTGCTGCCGCCGCCTCGCCATGCAAACATCCATCGGCATGGCAGCACCTGCCACCATCAGCGCTCGCAATACGCGTCCACGTGCCCACTCTCCTCATGGCCTCTCTGGCAGGCGACGGCCACACGCCACTGTCCGCCACTGCACCCCACTCACCGCCCACACCCGCCTCCCTCTCGCCCGCCCCTGAGCCACTACCAGCGCCGGCACCAGCAGCGTCGGGTCTGATGGCGCTGACCCCCCCAATGAACTCCATGGAGCTCCCAGCGCGGCTGCACAGCTGCCGTGCCAGCGCCAGCACCTCTGCTCGCCCGCGCCCCCGCAGCATCTCCTCCCACCGCGCCGACTGCCCCCCCGCCCCCTCCTCGCCCCACGGCTGCACGCGGCCTCCCACATACCCCTGCGCGCCCCTGCCCGCCCCTCCGGACCCTGCCAGGCGCCGCTTCACCTTGGTCCCTGTGGACGCGCGGCGCAGCACCACTGCTGCTCCCGGCTCCTCTTCGTCCCCTGCGTGCCCTGCACTGTCGCGTGCGTCCACAGGCGCAGCAGCAGCAGCAGCAACGGCACTGAGCGCCGAGGTAGGCAGGGCGTGGCAGGAGGAGAGGCGCAGCAGCTGTTGCTGGCTGGTGGACGATCCATGGCATGCAGATGATGCTGATGCTGAAGCCCATGCTGACGCTGATGCTGATGTTGATGTTGATGCGTTGCCTGCCACTGCTGCCGTCAATGGTGCTCCTGCTGGTGCACCTCCGCCTAGTGCTGCCCCCAACCTTGCCTCTCCAGCACCAGCGCCTCCCCATCCGCCCTTGGCTCCCCTGTTCGCCCCTAATTCCATGCCGCCACTCAAATCACTCGCACGCCACTCGCTCCTTTCCCCACATCCAGTAGTCAGAGGCACCCATTCCTCGCCTCGCCTTACTCGCCCAGTAGCCCCGCGCCCCTTCACCAGCCTGCCCCACTCCGCAGACCACCCCCTGATTTTAAGCCTCTCCGCACCTGTTGCTGCTCCTGCACTCACCGCACTGTCATGCACAGCTCCCCCTTCTTCCCACGCCCTCCCTTCGCTGGAAACAGCAGCAGCAGCAGCAGAAGCAGCGTGGTCAGCAGCAGCAGCAGCAGCAGCAGCATGGGCATCCCGAGAACCGGCGGACATGCACCGGCCAGCATGCCTCAACTGCACCGGCATGCCCCTTGCCTCGCCGTCACCTGTGCTGGCAGCAGCGTAGGGAGCAGCAGCAGCAGCGCAGGGCAGGTGGGCAGAGAAAGGCGGCAGCGGCTGCGAGTGGAAGAGAATGCCTGAGTGCGTGTTGCTGTGCTGGTGATGCACGTGCGGCTGGCGCTCAGACGCTGTGGGATGGGAGGGCGGGTTGGCGGGGAAGCAAGGAGAGGAGGGCGAGGAGGAAGTGCACAGCGGCCCACTGGGCTGCTGGCACTGCTCACCGTGCCTCTGCGCCCCCTCCTCTCTCCGCCCCTCCCCTTCACCGCCAGCACCAACGTCACCAGCGCCCCCTGCCCGGTCGCCACCGCCTGCCAGCACATCCCCCATCCCTGCCCACTCAGCCCCCAACGGCCCCCCCATTCGCTTCCCCGCTACCAGCAATCGCTGAGACAGGCTGTAACTGGGGGAGGCACCACCTGCTGTACAGGCAGCAGGAGCGGCGGCAGTGGGAGGAGGATGAGGAGGGGTGGAAACAGCGGGCATGGGCGTGGCAGCAGTGGCGGCGGGGCGAGAGACGTCTGTGAGGCGCTGCCTCATGGCTTGCAGGTAGCGTGCTATGGCATGGGGGTCACTGGAGGAGCGGAAGAGGGGCGAGGGCACCATGCGCACTGCTGCTACCTGCTGCCACTGCGGCCTGCCTCCCACAAAGAGAGGCGGCAGGGCAGCGGCTGGCGAGCGTGCATGTGTGGGAGTGCGGTGCTGCCACTGTGCGTGGTCGTGCTGCTGTGTGTGCTGCACGTCGCCTTGCTCCCCGCCTGTGTGTCTCTCATACACCATGTCAGATGCCCTGCCACACGCCTCCCACTCACCCCCTGCTGCTGCTGCTGCTGCTCCAGGAGAACCCCCATCAGACTCTCTGCTTGACGGACTCCTCTCCTTCCCATCCCCGCACATGCTTTCCTGCCCCTCCGCTAGCCATAAATTACCGGACTCTAGATCCCCCACCCCTCCATGCATACTCCCTCCCGCATTCCCGTCGTCCTCGCGCCCACCCTGAACACTGTCCGCAGCAGCATAACTGCGCACGCTCTCGGGCACAGCAGGTGCAGAGTCTGTGTCGAGCAGGTGCTTGGGGTGGGCAGTGGGGGCAGCGGCATGTGAGGAGCAGAGGTGCACGGCCACCTCTATGAAGCCCTTGTGCGTGAACTTTATGGCGTTGCCCACTGCCACGCCACACATGCCATGCCACACATGCCATTCCAGAACATGCCACCAGACATGCCACAAGATAGGCAAATCCATAGCAGCCATACAAAGAGCAGGCAATACATGAGATGGGCGCACAAGAGGCATGGTGCGACCAGGGGCATGATTTATGTGAGCTTGTGGATTCTGAGCGTGCACGGCATGAGCGTGGTTGGGAGGGGGACGGGAGGAGTCGGGTTGGAGAGGACGGGGGTGGGTGGAGGAGCAAAGAACAAGCCACGAGCTGCAAGCAAACGACTGAAATCATAGGTGAGAGGTGACAGAAAGCACGCGAGCAAGGCAGCAGTGTGACCGCACTGCACGCCACGCCCCCATGGGCCCACGGTGCAATGAGGGAGAAAGGAAGCAAGCGAGCGCAAGGGCGCACCGAGGTTGTTGATGCACTGCTGCAGGCGCACGGGGTCGCCCACGAGCGTGCGCGGCACCTCAGGTGCTATGTCCCACGCCAGGGCCACTCGCTTCTGCGCCGCTTGCACCTGCCACACCACAATTGCGAGAGAGGGTGGGGACGCAGGCGGGGTGACAGGGCACAGATGCCCAGCAGGCGGGGTTGCATTGTGAGAGCGGATGTTGCAGGGGACGTGCGCAGGGGACGTATGAAGGGGAGAGAGAGAAGGCGCTCAGGCAGAGACGGTGGGTGAAGGCGGTGGCAGGAGGGCGAGTGCTCCCAGCGTCTGACCTGCAGGGCGTGGAGCACGGAGAGCACGACCTCCCTGGGGCGGAAGGGCTTGCGCTGCAGCAGCAGGCGGCCGGCCTCGATCTTGGCGACGTCGAGCACGGTGTTGACTATGTGCAGCAGTGCACTCGCGGACTCAAACACCGTGTCCAAGTGCGAACTCACGTCCCCCACCAGCCGCTGCGCCTCCTCCCACTCCACCCCCACCCCGCCTCCTGCCCCTCCCATGCGCCCCCAATTGCCTGCGCCGTCCCCTTTGTGAGAGTGCTTCCCCTTGGCGGGTGTGGCATGCGCGCCCCTGTGGGGTTTACCCGCGCATGCGCGTGGGACGAGCAGCGCTTGCAGCGAGGCGAGCGTGTCCGCGGCCACTCGTGTCATGCCCATGATGCCGTGGATGGGCGTGCTGCAGACGTGGACGATGGATTGGGTACGTGCAGAGGGGAGGAAGTTGAGAGGGCAGGAGGAAGCGGTGGGGGAAAGTGGAGGACGGCGTGGAAGGCGAGGAGGTGGAAGGGGGAGGCCAAGAGGACAAGCATGCCTCGTGCGTCATGCCTCAGCGTACCCCGTGCCTATTTCACGCCTCACCGGATCTCACGCCTCACCGGATCTCACGCCTCACCGGATCTCACGCCTCACCGGATCTCATGGCTCATGTTCGCCAGGAACTCCGTCTTTGCTTGATTAGCCGCTTCTGCTGCTTTCTTGGAAGCCTCCAATTCCTGCCACGTGGCGGAGAGAGGAGCACAGGTGGGCATAGCAAGGGCGCGCATGATGCATGGCAGGGGACTACCAGGGATGCATTGCGCACCCTCCCGGCATGGAATATGGAACCACGCAATGCTGCTGCGTGCCTGGTTGGTGAGAGTGAGCTGCAGGGTGCGGTGCAGCACTTGCTTCTCGAGCGTGGCGTTCATGGCCCTCAGCTGCCGCCGCAGGCGCCGTGTGTCGCGCACCACGGCGCCCAGCACCACGCCCACCACGGACAGCACGCACACAAACCCCTGCGCCTGCAGCTCCGACGCCATGGCCGTGGACCGCTGCAGCGGGCCCCACCCACGCGCCGTCGCGAAGCTCGTCAGCGCCGCCACCACAAACACCACACACGCCAGGAAGCTGCTCCGTACGTGCGCGTGCAAGGGGAGAGGAGGGTAACGGGGGAGGGGGGGGTGGGGGGAGGGAGGGAGAGTTGGAGGGATTGTTGGGCGACAGAGGGCAGGAGGGGAGCAAGGGGTGGGTGGTGAGAAGAGGACGGGGAACATGCATGACAGGGCAGGCGATCATGGCGAGACAACGGACGACACATGGAGGGGACGTTGGGGAGGAGTGGAGGGTGGCGTACGTACAGGCGATTGAAGCGCACGGCGGACCACATGATGAGAGGGAAGAAGAGGTATGGCAGGGCGACGAGCCACTCCTCTGAGTCCAGCACGGGCGTGAAGAGCAGCAGCAGCAGCACCGCCAGCAGCCCCACCAGCGCCCCCGCCTCCACCACCCGTAGCATGCGCCACCGCGGCCGCATGCACGCTGATGATATCACGTGCACGCTGCACACACACACACACACACACACACACAGCACGCGCGGCGCAGAAAGCGCTCGGCTTTGAGGTGCGGGGAGGGGGGGTGGCGGCATGGCGAGATGCAGAGGGAGGAGCGGCGAAACGAGAAGAACAGTGCAGATTACAGAGCGCAGCAGGCGGGATGACGTGCGACAGTGTCTCAAGGACGTGACGGCAGTGGTGGGGGCGGGCAGGGGGCAGCAGGCAGGTGCAAGCGTACCCTGAGCGCCATCCGCGCTGGCGGATGGGGCGCACGATCCAGTGGCGCGCGGACCAGAGCGAGTAGGTGAGCAGCGGCAGGAAGCAGATGACGCCCGCGAAGTCCGCCAGCCACCAGATCACGAACGTCCTGCGGGCCGTCGCCATGGGGGCACACGAGGGCATGGGGGGCATTCGGGAGCATTCGGGGGCATTCGGGGGGATTCGGGGGCATTCGGGGGGATTAGGGGGCATACGAGGGGATTCGGGGGCGCGGGCACGCGCGCACAACATCAAGCCCCCTGCTTCTTGACCGTTCTCTCCTTCGCTGCCCCCTACCTCCAAACACCTCCCCTCGCCCCTCCCGCTTCGCTTACCCGTCCGATCCCCCCTCCTGCGGCTCTCTTTCCTATTCCGCGCATGCGATGGCGCCCACCTGGCGGAGTCAGCAGCGGATAGCAGCTGGCAGAGCCCCATGGTGATGGCCTGAATGGCGTTCGCGATCAGCGCGGCGACGGTGGTAACCACCATCATCTGCACCACGTCCTGCGCGCTATCCAGCGGCGTCGTCTCCTCGTACACCCGCGTTTCCTCTCCCTCCCCCCCACCCGCCTCCCCAAATGCGCCCCCCTCCTCGTCCCCCCAGCTCCGCGTCTCCGCGTCCTCCGCGCCTTGCTTGCCGGTGCAGCATACGCGCGCGCCCCCCATCCGACTGCTACCGCCTTCCAAGTCGCAGTCCTCCGCCGCTAACACGCCATCCCCGCGCTCTGTGGCGGGCGCCGCCGTGCACGCGCGCGGAAGGAGCGCAGCAGCAGCGGCGGCGAGCGCAGCGGCGGGCTGGCGGATGAAATGCGCGGCGACGACGGCCTGCATGGAGTTGGTGAGCGACAGCACCGCGCCCGCCGTCACTAAACCCCACGCCGGCGCGTCGGGCTGCGCCGTAGCGAACCAGAGATTAAATAGCAGGTTCCCGATAAATAATCCCACCGCGCAGCGAGGCCCGAGGCACTGGTAGAATGTTAGACAGCACGATGGAGGAAGGGGGGGAGGGGGGAGGGGGGAGGGGGGGGGGAAAGGACGACGAGGGATGGAGAGGAGGAAAGGAAGGTGGTGGCACAGAAGGGAGGAAATCCTTGAGGGAAGTGTGGAAAACGGGGAGATGCGAGTCGGGGGAACGTGTTGAAGCGTGGTGAGGAGAAGGACTTACGAGACTGGCGAAGTAGGCAAAGCCGGTGGGCAGCCACACGGTAGAGAGCTGGCCTTGCAGCCGCAGGTTGCAAATCACAAACTCGATCGCGCCGAGACTTAAATAACCAAATGTTGCGCCAGCCGTTAATAGCAACTGCATGTGCCATGGCCACTTGTCCATCATCCATCTCGCAGGCCACCACGACACATCCGCCTTGCCATCCCGGGCACGCGCCGCCGCCGCGTGCTGCGGCTGTTCGCCTCCAAAGCTGGCATCAACGCGCAAGCCTTGGTCTAAAGGAACGTTCACCGAACCCTCTGGACGTTCTGCCGAAGCGCCTTCAAGAGTATCCTGTGCTACGCGTCTCACGGTATCAGTCACCAGCTGACTCATGACGGAGAGTTACTCTTCTGCTCAGACACCATGGACAATCCATGCAACAACAAAAAAAACATTTGTGAGAGGCAGGGGAATGAGAAAGTGGTTCTAGTTTTTGGCTGCTCCATTGTGAGGTGGGCGACAGGGCCGGGGAAGGGAACTGAACAGGGGCTTGAGGTGGCGGTTTTGACGGACTCATGTCCTGTCCTGTGACCTGTCCTTGGCTTGTGGAGAAGATTTCGATGAAGGGGGTACTTTTTGTGAGACTGGCATGTCACTTTGCTGGGCAGGTACTGTATCAAGATATTTCACTTGGGGGACGACATGATCCCAGTCCACTCCAGAACTGGAAATTCGATTGAACACAACTCCCTTCCGAACAGTTCTGCAGTAAGCCGATTGTACTATTAAGTGTGGTGCTCAAGAGGCGTGTCATGTGTAGAACAGTGCCGAAGATGTTCCCCGAACTTGGGTGTGTATCACGTGTATCTTAGCCAAATGGGAGCGTCTCTGGTAAAAAATCATCATTTCCTGGCTCCTGGATCCTGTACATCGAATTTCGGATTGCACTTTTTGCCTTCAGCGTTTTCGGTTGTTCTATGCTGTTGTGTACGTCCTTATCAACATCGCCCATTTTGTCCGCCTGGTCGTTAGCTGGCCCTTGAGGACACCGCCGCCAAGGCAGCCCATTTCCCAAGTGGTAGCTTTGCTTTCGTCCTCTTCCAAGTGCTGTGCAGGTGTGGCTGTGTTCCTCCAGCTACTGCATCAGATGGGACCACGAAAATGAGCAACTTGCTTATAACGACTAGAGGGCTGAATTTGTGTAACTACCTAAATAACAAGATAAGATGGCATTCATTCCAGATTGTGGCTCATTCTGCTTGAGAACACTGAAATCTTAGTGCCTAATCTTGATGGAAAATGGTGCGTTAAATCCTCCCAACCTGCCTTTCAAGGCCGTCAATACTCATATCTGTTACGAATAGCAATTGTTGAAACACTACTGTGCACTCCTCACCGCAGCAAACGAAGCACGCACTACCGAGAGTGAAGGCGAAAAGGCACAAGTGACGCGAAGGGTCGCACGGTTACGAAAGCATCTGGACCGTCGGGCAGACAGCATCAGGCAGCAGCAGTGGCGAGGATTCTGCCCGGACAGTTTCGTAACTGTCTGGAGTCGCACGGTTGGATTTCGATGTAATAAGGGAATGTACCCCTTAGAGTACATGGCTAGCTAGGTCGATTCAAATTCCCCTGTACTCTTATTTATATTCCTTGTACTGCATGTTTTTATTATCTCAAGCATTTACATTCACTCTGCTATTGAGGTCAAGGGCCCACCACCACTAGACTAGGAGTGTGCGAACATTCATGAGGTGATCCTGAGGTCGATCAACTTCTGATCGCAACATGGTATGAGAGCGACTCAGGATCCTTCGCACCGCCACTACCGAAATTTTCGGCAAACGAAAAGTGGCGTCCGGCACACGCTCACGTGTGAGAATGGCCGGAGGATCTGGTGGTCAGACGAATCTGACGGCTGAAGCGCAGACCAACCCGGCTGCGACAAGCGAAGAAACGACGACGATTCCTTCCGCCGTTCTCGCACAACTGCTTCAACGACTCACCAGTTTGGAGCAAGGACTCCAAACATTGCGGAATGGCGACACGGGAACATCTTCCCAACCCTCTCAACCGGCCTCGAACGGCCACAATACCGCCCCGCATACCTTCTCCCTCGACACCAATGGCTCAACTCCCAAAACTCCCCGTCCCAGCGAAGAGGCAATTCTCTCTGCGCAATCAAAGTTTCTGAGTATATAAAAAATAAAGACAAGTGTGTGCTTTGACGGCAGAGACTTCTATACATGGAGCTTCGAGCTGGAACTGCTGCTGCAAAACGCGCAGGTCTTCCATTATTTCGACGGGAGCTACTCGGGACCCGCTGAAGACACCGACGACGCCTAGGCGAGGTACTACAACGAGTCCCTGATGGCGTACGGAGTTTGTCAAACATTATATGTTTATATTGTGTAGGCTATAGTGGGTTTAGCCTTAGGGGGTACAACTTTGCTAGGGTTTCCTACTTGTATCCCCATCATTCCTAGTTTCATCATTCTCGTTCACATCTAGATTCTAACATGGTATCCGACGCCTAGGTCAGGACCTAGGACCGACGTTGGTTTGGGCCCACCGTTCCACCGCGCCGTCGAGCGCCCCTTCTCGCGCCGTCGAGCGCCCCTTCTAGCGCCGTTTGCGCCCCCTCTAGCGCCGTCGAGCGCCCCTACTAGCGCCGTCGTGCGCCCTAGTGGCCGCCGCCCGTAGGCTGCCCGTCGCCCGTAGGCTGCCCGTCGCCTGCCATCGCACGTAGGCCGCCCTTACGCTGCCCGTACGCCGCCCGTAGGCCGCTGCCGCCCGTAGGCCGCCCGTACGCCGCCCGTAGGCCGCTGCCGCCCGTAGGCAGCCTGTACGCCGCCCGTAGGCCGCTACCGTCCGTAGGCAGCCCGTAGGCAGCCCGTAGGCAGCCCAGTGGCGGCCCGTACGCCGCCCGTAGGCCGCTCGCGCGCAGGCCGTAGCCCGCGCGCCGCGGCTGCTGCACGCCGGCGCCTGCAGCCCGCCGGAACCCGTGCGCGTCGCCCCCTGCCTCTTCGCGACGCCCTTACGGGACCCGCGCGTCGCCCCCGCCTCTTCGCGGCGCCTCTGCGGGACCCGCACTTCCCCCCCCCCCCCCTGCCTCGTCGCGACGACCCTGCGGGACCCGCGCGTCGCCCCCGCCTCGTCGCGACGCAGCTGCGGGACCCGCGCGTCGCCCCCGCCTCGTCGCGACGCAGCTGCGGGACCCGCGCGTCGCCCCCGCCTCGTCGCGACGCAGCTGCGGGACTCGCGCGCGTCGCCCTTGCCTCGTCGCGTCGCCCCCGCGCGACCCGCGCGTCGCCCCTGCTCACCGTGGCGCCCTGCCCTACCCCGCGCCCGCCCTTGAGACGGCCGCCCCTGGCCCCTAGAGCAGCCGCACCTACAGCAGCCGCCCCTGGCCTCTAGAGCAGCTGCACCTACAGCCGCCCCTGGACCCTGGAGCAGCCGCCCCTGGCCACCTGGAGCAGCCACCACAGCAGGAGCCGCCCCTGGACCCTGGAGCAGCCGCCCCTGCAGCAGCCGCCCCTGGCCCCTGGAGCAGCCGCCACTGCAAGAGCCGCCCCTGGCCCCTTGAGCAGCCGCCCCTGGCCCTTGGAGCAGCCGCCACTGCAAGAGCCGCCCCTGGCCCCTGGAGCAGCCGCCCCTGCAGCAGCCGCCCCTGGCCCCTGGAGCAGCTGCCGTCGCGGCCCGGCCCCGCCCTGCAGCAGCTGCCGCGGAGCTCCCTGCCGCGACCCGGCCCCGCCCTGCAGTTGTAGCGGCCCCACTGTCGCCACTGTCTTGCGCCTGCCGCGCCGACCACTGGTGAGCATTGCCCTGCCCGCACTGCTACTGCTGCTACTGCTGCTACTGCTGCTCCTGGCGTGGCCAGATGCAGCTCCAGGGCCGTGCGCGTGAGTCCCTCACGCCCCAGCAGCTTCGTGAGTGGTACGCTAGTTGGGGCTGTCGGGGTGGCCGTAGTGGTAGTCGCTCTAGAGTGGGTCGTTCGGGAGCTTCTGGTAGTGGACAGGTGCAGCTGCCGTGTCCTCTTTCGCCCCAGCAGCTCCGTGAGTGGTACGCTCAGAGTAGAGGGTCATTGAGTACTGCTCGCTGCCCGTACGTCATTCGCACAGGTGTCCGGACTAGTCAGCCTTGCGGGACCCGTGGCCACACAGAGTCCCACTGCTTCGCCCGTCTGGGCGACGCTTGGCGTACAGAGTTTGGCGACGCCGCTGAGCTCCCCTCTTGGGTGGAGCTGCTTAGGTAGAGGGTAGATATCTTTGCTCTTGACTCTGATGCTATCCTCACTGCCATGTATGCATTGTCTACTAGTACTGAGAGTGCCTGTCCCCTGTGTGTACCGCCTGACCCCGGTATCGAGTCTGCTGCTCTAGGTGCTGGTGAGTCTGCTGCCCCAGGTACTCGTGCGTTTGCACCTGCTGGTACTGCGTCTACTGCGGCACTGCACACCTTCACACTGGACTCCGGTGCTTCCCGCTGTTTCTTTCGTGACCGCACGGCCCTTGAGCAGCTTGCTCGGCCGGTTGCAGTCTCCCTTGCTGACCCCTCTGGGGGTCCGGTCCTTGCGACCTCCTCCACTGTCCTCCCTTGTCCTGCGGTCCCGTCGGGCACACTGTCAGGTCTTTACCTCCCCTCGTTCTCTACGAACTTGGTGGCGGGTAGTGCGCTCCAGGACGGGGGTGTCCACCAGTTCACCCCTGCCTACGAGCGCGTGACACACTGCACGTGTGCTCGGACGGGCCGTCACCTGGCTACCTTCACTCGGCAGCCGGGGTCGGACCTGTACACACTGACCAATGAGTCCCCTCAGGTAGCAGCGTCTGCGTCTGCGTCCGGTCAGCTGTCGGCCCCCTGCTCGTGTCGCTCTCTAGCGCACGAGACCGTCCTCTGGCACCACCGACTTGGTCACCCGTCCGTGCAGCGCCTTCGTGCCATGCACAAACGATACCTTGTCTCTGGTCTTCCCAGGGTTCTCCCTCCCCTCCCACCCTCGCCTGCTCCTCCCTGTCTTCCCTGTGTCGAGGGGCGGCAGCGCGCCGCTCCTCACTCCTCCTCGTTTCCCCCGACGACTGCTCCCTTGCAGACACCCACATGGACGTGTGGGGCCCAGCCCGCGTCCGTGGTCAGGGTCAGGAGAGGTACTTCCTGATAGTTGTT